GGCTAGATTTATTTTCTTCGGAGCGAAATCAAAAACATCTTGCAGCAATATGTTTTCCTGCATGTGCTTGACAAAACCACCACCAAGGAAAGCTTCAAAAAGTTCACATGTTTAGAACAAATTAATGAAGCTTGAAATATAGAGGGAGGTAGAATATGAAAGCTGGAAACGTGTAAATCTTAAATCCCAGCATAAAATCACTATATGAACAATAAATACCTGCATCAAAAGGGACTATGTTGCTATGCTTAATAGACCTGCACCAATGTTTATAGTTGTTTTGGGACCATAACCATCATGACAAAACAATCTGTTAGGATAATGATCATAAATCACATTCTCAATCAACGATAATAATAAGAACAAAAAGAATGGTACCTCAATCAATTCCAGAATTTCCCAAAACAAGTTCCTCTGATTACTAAGATCTTTCTTAGCTAAGCCTTTACCCCCTGCTTCCAAACTTGTAACTTTAGATGTAATTCTTCCTTTACTCTTTTTTGTTTAAAACAATCAGTCAACCATGGTATACATAACTGATTATCAAGCCAAATGATGTGCATTTATGATCAAGCCAGATGATCAACTACTTTGAGCAAGTACTGATCAACTAAGTGTTATTGCATAGTAAATGTGAAACTACTATGGACATGATGCTAATTTCAAACTATATTGTGAAAATGAACATGCTAGAGGAAGGAATTGTACCTTTGACCTTGTGCTTTAAAAGACACACTCAAACCAACTGAGCTACCCCAGCTTATTATGCATACTTTGCGGAATGATAAAATCAGAGGACATAATTTTGTGCATTCAAGAAAGAGCTAAAACAATTTGAGACAAATATACTAAAGGTATATATTCAAGATAGACCTCAGACAAAAAATACCTTCGTGCATATCGTCACTGTTTTTCTCCTTCATTCTTAGAGGACATAGAAGATACTTACTTTGCCATTTTCATTCCCCGTTCCCATGTTTTCTACTGAATTATCAACATACAATGATCATTAATTTGAAGTAAATCAAATGCAAAAATCAAATTTTCAAGAAAATTGTGCATGTATGTAAAATGGCTATCCTATATGCAAAAGGAAAAGTAGCACCTTTTTCTCTATTGGACTAACACAATGAATTTCTAATTTTCTCTTTACCTTTCATACTCCATCTAACTTCTTGTACCTAGTTTAATTTTTAACGATTTGTACTTGCTAATGATTTACAGGAAAGAAGGTATATAAAGTCCACCATTTGCAACCTATTGGACAAAAAATACAAATTATAGGTAGGTTACAAAAAACATTACTTTTAAATATGATATTCTCATCCAATGACATGGACAGATTGATAGGGTCCACGAAGACCTTTCCCGTTTCCTAAAATATTGATGAACCATATATCAGAAAGTATTCAACTTAAACAAACATTATTTTGTTTATTT